ACGATTATTTTAATTGTTATCATCATCACGCGTTGACATTATTATAATTAAATCTTCTTTTGCGAGAAGAAACGCTTAATGAAAACGATTAAAAAAAAAAACAGACGTACTTTTTCGACAGATAAAAGTAAAGAAAGGTAAAAGTTGTTTCGCGCTGCTCACAACGAATCAATGGTATCATCCAAAGAGTGAAACATTCAGCTGAAAATGACAGCGACATTTGTCGATTCGCGATAATTTGTCGCGATAATCGCTGATGCATTTTTCATTCAGTGTCAGTTTGACAGCCGCGATAATCGTAAAATGTAAAAATCTATTTGTGCACGCACAACCTGTATGTCACGGTATATAATTTATCGGAAAAAAACATGCGCTTGTAATATGAACTGACCGGAACGATACGTCATAAAATCCAAAAATACTCGGGTTGTTATTGATACGTCATTAAACGTTAAAGTGTATCGTTGGAAACGATATTCAATTATTGTTCGATATTTACATTTTCTATTTTTGCCCATATAAATCGGTTTTGTTCATAAAAATATTCATAATTTCGTGTCAATGCAGTGTAATAGATATCATCGTTAAATAATAGAAAATTAAGATCTTTGTAATATTTTTTGTATTATGTGAAGATTTTATCAATGCGTTTATTATAGCCTGAGAAAAATGAACATAACATCATATATGATCTTATATAATTATATAAGTTTATTTTTTCTGGAGAACTAAATATTTTTTATATGATTCACATATTAATATTTAATTATTTAAATTTGAATAAAATTTATTGTTACTACACATAATTACCGTAATTTAGTAAATATATAAATAATGTTCTAATGATCGCAACGAAATGATGCAGCTGCTGAAAAGAGCGATAAAAAGTATAGAGATGCAAATATAGTGTGGAGGCGCCAAATTTTCGCTATCATATCAGCATTATAATTGAATTTATAAAACACAAGATGCGTGATCAGTAATACATTAAACCTGGTGATCTCGTTAAAGTCGTTATACATGCCGGCGTCGCATTAAACGCAGCTTTTCTTCCCTTAATCGTTTTTTATCTGGTCTCTCGGGTGTTATCTCCTTGCACAGAAGTATTTTTAAGTGATTTATTACTACTTTAGGAAATTATAAAACGGCATAACGGAAACTTTTACCAGCGGTAAATGCAAATTATGCGTGCAATATCTCGTGTCTGTCCGATGCAATTTGCAAAACGGAAAGCGGAGAGTAATTAAACCCAGAAAAAAAACCGCAGTTAAATTGGAAACTGATACGTATATATCTACGCAATATTCTCCACTTACTTTAAATGGAAATTATCCGAATCATCTTTTCTTTGCGAAAGCGTGATCATAAGAAACATTAAAAGCACGGTAATGACGAACAATAATTAGTACTGTATCGATAAATGCGCGTGAAATATTGGAATTACTTGCAAAAGAGCGCAATATCGTGCGAATGGTCGTGAATATACACTACGCGAGAAGTATCGTTTATCATGGAAGGGGATGAGATAATTGTTTGCGATATCTATATTTACAGTATTATGACTATCCGTAAGTTACATAGTAACCAGATGTTGTAAAGAGAGAGATCGCCATTCTCTCTTTCTCTCTCTCTATTGGTTCAACTATCTAAAACTTTCTTCGTCACAAAGGTCGGAGCTTTTTTCTAATCCTATCTGAGATAAACGTTATAAATCGCGAGAAGTTTACTATCTCTTCTCGATATGTTGTCAATGGAAAGATCGAATTCCGTGTTTTCAATAAAACGCAATACTCTGTGTCATGATACATTGTTATATCGGATATTTCAATAAATCTTGGTGTCGCGATTTTTTTCCGCGGCCATTGAAGGCATTGACACCACATCCTTTTTCGATTTTATTACACGGAAGATTCTCTGTTTTTACGAGAATGAAAAAAATAATAATATTCTATTGAAGTCTGGAAAAGTCAGATTTATTCTTTTATTAGACATGTATAAATGTAATATTTTTTATACATATATTGCATGATGTAAGAAATATTTATTTCTACGCGTTTTCTCTTTTTATTTTATCATTTTTTTATAATTAATAGTCTATATTAACATAGATCAGACACCGTATGATCTAATATCTAATATAATTTTTTATACTACGGTTTTTATAAGATAAACTATAAACGCGATACAATAAAATGTATGCAAATGATGTAGACGTTTTAAGGTACATTCTGTGAAAAAGACGTAAACTGACGGATGCCAATTTCCGAGATTGACGTAGCGTGTACGATTTTTGATAAATGGAGAACGTTAACGGCTATAGGCATTTCCTATCTGTCATACGGAATCTGAGCTGACGGTAGCTTTTAATAATCTGCAAAACGGAGCTTTCCTATAAGCCATTCGGAAAGAATGGCTATTGCCTTGCTATTCGCTTCTACGAACTACTTGCGATTTACCTTCATGCGTACATAAAATAATATAGACATAATATCATAAAATATTGATGCTTAAATATTTGTGTTGACGGTTAAACAATAATGAAAATAAATAATTAAAAATATAGAACTTTTATTTAGAATATATATGATAATATTAGGGAATGTTCATCGTTATAATGCAAAAACTGCAATATATATGTGTAAGCGATATGCTTACACATATCATAAAAATGCTAAGCTTTTTTTATCGATCACGGAGACTATTAACTTCAAGTTATTCAAAAAGTTGCAGCGGGCAACACGTGTTTTCATCGATCGATGATGACTTTAAAATGCGAGAGTATATGTTATGCACATCTGTATGCAACAATCTTCGAATCTTGTCGCCGGAAAATATCTGTCTCTGTTATCTAACGACAGGTCAATAAACTATCCATATTGGTTTCTCCTAAAGGAAATAAAAGTGACTCGTTGCAAACTTGGGGCGACAGATAAAGCTTCGTCATACTGTCGTATCCAGATCGGCAAGTTCTACGAAGAACATCCAGGAAAATACGAATGAAATTGTTATCTACGTATACAAGAGAGAAATCTACGGAGACATATCGGATTAACCCGCTTCAATGTTCAGCTTTTGTTCTCTTTAATAAATGACATTAGAATTTACAAAAAAAGGATAAAGAATAAAAATACGACACGAAGAATTGTTCTGAAAGTAATTAAAAAATCCACGATCATTAAAACAAACGACCGCAAAATTAATGATTCAAGTTGAGACGCGATGTTATTTTAGCGTAAAAATAATTCGCTATTATATAGAGAGAGAGCTGATTAATCACCTAGGATATTTGTACTGCTCGAGAAAAATGAGCCGCAAGAAGTTTATTCTGATAAATGGTTCTTGAACAATTTTATAAAAAGGAAATATGAGAGAGACATGAAATTGTATACAATATTATACATGTATATAAAAATCAAATCGATATATACATGGATATGTTTAAAAATCATTTCATTATTTTCATCTATTTTATTTCTATAAATCTTGGGATTGTAAATGTACTAAAGTTGATAGTATTTATCTAATCATATAAAGAATAGGACAAGTTAAATTGCTAGAATTGAGATAAATATTTTTCTATCGAATAAATATAAATTACGTTTGTTACGAGAAGAAATTCAGCCATGTACACGTCGCTCCGAAATGCAAAATTAATGGCTCGTGCGGAGCGTCCTATAAATTTTCTTCGACATACGTCGTGTCTCGACGATCTCACTAAAAAGTGCAGTCCTCCGAAACGCTCGCGACACAGTTTTGCTGCTGTGTATCGTCGAGGATGTAAGTTTCTCTCGTTCCGCCTAGTAAGCGATATCTAAAACGCCCGACCCGGATTTGCCTCAACGAGAATATGAAACGACACAGTCGTCACGATTTACGTTTTGAAGGAATCTCGCCTGCGCAAAAGAGAAAAACAGAGAGAGAGAGAGAGAGAGAGAGAGAGAGAGAGAGAGAGAGAGAGAGAGAGAGAGAGACGAAATAGCGAGATACGTGCAATGAGCGCAGTAAATTCTGTATCGGTAAAGAGGTCTTTGAAAGCCCGATAATAAATTGTCTATAACGGCCGATGCGACGTCACGTTGCAGGTGACATCGACCCACATGTTACCAGCAAATCGATTTTTCGAAAGCACTGCCCTGTCAAATTGCGCGAGTGACGCAACAGTGCATTTAACTCTCCTCCCCGTAGATGATCGATGAACGTATTCGGACATATCTCGTAAATGCACGGCCGAAATCGCGGCGCTGAAAATCCGCGAGGCTTCCCGATCGGCTCATCGCAACTGTACGGAATAAAAAAAAAGCAGATTATTTCGTCGCAAAGTGACATTAATTAAAATGCGCTTCAACGTTACGATCATCTGCGACGCTGACATTCGCGCGGATTTTATTCTAGAAATTCAAATGTACGTATATTTATTGATAATGTGCGTCGTAATAATAATGCAGCAAAAGTGTGATAATGTGACTCTTAGTGAAACATGCACATATATACATACATTTATTTTCTCTTGATCTGTTTATCCATACTTATCCATACTTAACTTTATTTCACTTGAGACAAAGTAAAGTGACATGAGATTAATCGATAAATATTTTATCGCGAAATATAGAAGAATTTTTTATATAAATTATTTTGAAGTTGATTAATTACAATGCATAAATATTAACATATTTGATATTTTGACAGAAAAAATAATTTTTCATAAATTTTAATAAATCTCGTAATAAAGACTTAAGCCGGGCAGATAATGGCATATGCCGCTTGTATTGACGTTATTATTTTTCAAGACGCGATCGCGAGAAGTACTAAGTAAAAACAATTATTATCTATAAACCATAATTATCAATTATCATTTTTAAATTTATAAAATTAATTTTATTTTAAATATTTGTTTATTGTTGTACGTGTCGAATATAAAATTCAATGTGTAAAATAACAATTTTTTGTAAGATTAATTATTTTGGGTGCTGCTATATATTTTTGGATCTTATATGTTACAGAGATCAACGTAGTTTCAATGTCATCAACTTCGCTGTTGCGCATCGATCGGTGAGTGACAAATTTTTATTTTATGGTAAAAAACGCCAAGTGCACACATACATACTTACATAGACATATAAAAGTAACAATCTTTTATTTTTTAAAACTTGTATTTGTTACATACAAGTTTTAAATATATACTTGGCGTGTTCTTTATCCTTTTTTAGAAAGGATTTTTATTTTCTATGATATATATGTATTTTGTATCTATACATGTATATATGCATCTATATTATTTGCGATAAACAATGACAATATATAATAATTTAATTATTTTTATAAAAATATATATTAACGTATTGTAATATATATAATCTATCTTATTTATCAGTATTATAAATTTATTTTGTTATTAACGAGATATTATTGTTATTAACGAGATATCGCTTTTCGCATTATTTGGCATATAACGGGTAAATTTATACGTTTTTGTGATATATTTTTACACATTACGGAGTTTGATTATATGAAATCACGTAATGTCTCAATTAACAAATTCAATATATCGATTTTATACTTATGCAATTATTGAAAAAATATAGCTCATGAAATTATCGTAATTAACAGAAATTCTAAATCTGTCAATTGTATATATGTATGACGGAAAACCGATATATATTATATATGTAACACATGCGTATCCGACGTGTACATAAATACATACATACGTTGTAGATATATGTACAATTATTTTTTTCTAAACATATAACACAATTTCATTCAAATCCAAAAATTGAGCATTGCGATGTGTTGTTGTCTTCAGCCGCTTTTTTTATAAATCCAGATTAGCCTTTATTAGTTTCCAAAGACGGATTTATCCTTCTCAAACGGCGACAAGGGCCGCCTGCTGACACGCGGTGTTATATCACTTCCGTCGCGACGTCGCCCTCGAAAAAAGAGGAGAAAAAAAAGGCGACGCGTTAAACTCACTCTCCTCCTTAATCTTACGCGCATCTGTCGGCCGACGGTTTTCTTGGCGAAAGCAATCGGAAACGTGTCATTAAAATGACATGACCCGCACTCGAAGACATTGTCGGGAGAAGAGAGGTATTCTCTCAAGAGATGAGCAGACTGAGAACAAGACTTTTAAGTCCTACGGGAAAGATACAAGGGAGGGAGCGAACAGTGTAACAACTTGAGGGAAAGTTATTTCGCCTGCTCCGGGGAACCTCTAATGAACTTCGAACTTTAATGATGGAGGCTGCTAAATCCCCGCCTCTTCCGATACGGACGCGATCGGCCGTGTCTGAGTGCGAACGTGAAAATTGACGTTTTAATGCCGTCTGTAATTCAGAATACTTTTTTAGAAAGTTAAAGGATTTAAATTATTTATATATTTATTTTTAATAATTTTGAATCTTTTTAATAATTTTGAAATTCATCTTTTGAAGATATTTATGCTTAATATTTTTCAAATACATATTACGAAAATGATTATTTATGAATTAATATACAAATGTGGTAAATGTATGTGTAAAAAAAATCACAATCTGACTAAAATAATTTTGAACAATTGAGTGATTTAGGTTCTTTTTCTAATAAGATTGGAGATTTTATAATGTAACGTTATGGTAACATCCACAATTTTACATTATAATATATTTGAAGATAAACATTAAAAAATATATAATATATTTATAATGGATTACTCGCACTTGTATCGTTTTCGATAACATTTTAGAAAACACGAATGAAATTAGATTATTGACAGTGTAACGTTAACAACGTTAGTATCGGTGACGTCAAAACAAACGCCACGACCATGACCGGATTACATCGCTAGAATCCATTTAGACGAGTCCCATTTCACAATACATCATAACGTGGCTTTACACGTACGCACTCGTGATTCACTCCTCAAAGTTGACAAAAAACCGCGTTAAATCCCTTTAGTGGGGGAAAAAAAAAAAACACGTCCAATTGTCGCGCCGCGGTTGCGCGCGAACGGCGTGATTAGTTTTATCAATTAACGATAACCCGGCGCGCCGTCTCGACGCGCTTTTTCCGCGGATTTTACAAGCCGCCATCCATAACGAAATACACGCTGTCCGTTCGACTGCGATGACAATGGCGCGATCGCAAGCGGGAAAATTATTGCTCGTAATTCGTCGTCGCGTCGTGCGTCGCGTCAGATCTTTCTTCTACGCTAATTAAAATTGCTCGTGACCGGCAGCACGTTCTCGCCGCTCATGCTTTTACTGTCGGGGATTATTATATCCTAGTTTCTCGAGCTAGAGTTCCGTGAGTGTATTACAAATTATACACGTTGTCTGGAAAATATTTGATTAGACTTGTACAGTGGTTTTAGAATATTTTATGAAAAAGACAGGTACAACGAAAACTTGCAGAGAATTACATTACAAGTAGTAGTTTTCATATTTTGCAACGTGATTATGATTTTTCATCGCATTTTAAATATTATTTATATTTCTTATATAAATAATATAATATATTATTTATATAAAACTATATATATATATAAAATAATATAATATGTTATATATATAAATAATGTAAATAAGAATATTAATATTTGTTGTATAAATATCTGTTTATTTAATCAAAATTTCATAATTTTTCGCAAGTATAAGTTTACATAAGAATATATGTATTATTTCTCTCGGTAGATATTTTTCATTTCCTCCGTGTGTCTAATTAATAAAATATTTTATATTAAAATTTATTTTTATTTGTGAGAAAACGATGCGCGTTGATATAAACTTGATTTAATTTTGATACGTCCCATTTGCGCTTGTCTCAGGCGTGAGAATCAAACAATACCTACACGTCCATCGGGAATGCATCGGCAGAAAACGATGGAAAACTGATCGATGCAATATGAAACGACGGCAAAGTTTTACGCGACGTTTTAAAGATTTTCACGCCCCGCGATGCGATGGAGTTACTGAAAATCTAACTGCGAATTCGCACGGGTCGTGACACCGGAAGAGCACGTTAAGGTATATATCCGGCATATCTGGGTGACATTCGCGTGTTGGCGTCGTGCGCTCTCTGCCTCGCTCTTCTACCTTTGCTACTTTTATTGGCGGAAGTGTTGGACGCGCAAGCTCCATCCTCTTATGATTCAAATCGTAAAATACGGACGACAATCTTGAATATACACACACATACATATAAATGCCACACAATACGAGCGATATATTCTCTCGCTGTTCACGGCCACATCTGCAATCCCGATCGCGAATATCTATCCGTAATATAGGTGCGTTAATATTCTAACAAATGGATTAAAATACGTAGATTTTTGCTTAACGTAATGGTACTTATGCGTTACAATATTATATTCTATCTTTCTCGGAATAAAATCAATTTTATACTGCAGGCAGAATTATGACTGGTTGATAGAAATTCTTTAATATAATAAATATTCTTAAAATTTTTATTATGAATACGCAATGTCGCGTAAAAATTAAATTATAATTTCAAATTTAACGTGAAATTTATAATACAATTATTTTTAGTTATGTATGTTTCGCAATATAAAATTATTGGTATTCTTTAAAAATTTAGGACATGCTTTTTGAAACAGATAAATTAATAACAAGTTATTTCATAAAAATAATATTATTTGATATTATACATTTTCTCTTTTTGAGACAAGAAATCTCTGAAAAGTTGGAAAATATTTTTAAATCTTCACAGAGAGAGATAAAACGTGGATTTATTAATACATTCTTTAATCATTTTGCGTAGTTTGTTCTTTTTAAATTAATTCGCACTAAAGATGTTTGCCGCATCGTTAGTATTAAATATAACGCTTTTCTGCTGGATTCTCATTTATTTCAATAATGAAATGTACGCAATACGGTCGCTTATTAAAATACGGCGTGAGAGATTTGCATAAAAACTGATATCTACGCGAAACGTACGCCTCATAATTATCAGTTAAATATTCCTCCGAATTATAAATAACAATCCGAAACATATGCATTGATTAATAACGAAGAATCGTGAAGCAATGGAGACGACGGCGGCTCATTCCTGTGAAGTTACGGTAAGCTTGATAAAGTCTCATCGTGTTTTCTATCGGTGTACTATCCGGAAGAGGATGGAGCTCTTTCCAAGATTAAAAATCTCATAGTGCTCGAAGAGCCATGGTATATACTTTACATCGCTTTACACGAAATAGAAGACGTAGCACGGGCGGCGACTTTCAAGCACACTAGAGAAAACAACATCTTGCCCGTCTCATCTTGCTACTCTCTCTTTCTCTCTGTTCTCCATGGTTATATTCAATTGAATCAAATCGGTATGTTGTCGCACAGATCGTTCGAGTGTGTGAGCCGAGGGTTCCGAGGATCCCCAAGTTAGAATGTACAAGTGGATGAAACGAGACAGGTGAAGTGTCTTTTCCGTTTAGGAAAACCGGATTTGTGTGCGAGCTGAAAGAATGATATTATTCAATTTGCAGAGCAATGCAATAAATTCGCTCTTTACCGCACGTATAAAAATAATTAATTCCTGAGTGTCACGTGGACGTTCCTCTTAAGAGATTTATTGTCAGGGATGAAAGTCGAAGAGCATAATAATGTAGGGCACGAGAATATTATTTATGGAGGGTTGTTATGTGCCAAGAACACGAGCACGCAAACGTAATGTAGCGGAATATAGAAAAACAAGTAAATTTTCAACGTTATCAAGTAATATTAATTTGAAATCGTCTCTCTCTCTCTCTCTCTCTCGAAGCTTTTGTGTAAATTCTTTTAAATATAACAGTAGTACCCGAGAAAATTAAAAAACTAGTAGAAAAAAGCAAATTTAAATTAAACGGCGGTATTTCGCGTTTTGTTCGTACGGGAAATTCGAAAATTATCTTGTCAAGAAATAGAAATAAGATCAGGATACGAAAGATTCAATTTGCAGCCGGAACGCCTCACTTTGTTCAATCCCCCGGATCCGGCGAATGATCGAAGCGGATGGAAAAAGACCTCGGCTCTTCCCGTTAATTAAGTTACGAGATGCGCTTCTGGCCAATCTGGCTCGTCCCT